TGAGTTGGAAAAAGCAGTGCAGGTTTTTGATGTTATTGATGAATGTCAAGAAGATAATTTAAGAATGATTTTGATGCAACTGAAAAGAAATATATCTTGGAACAAAAATCACTTATTGAAGCATTTATTAAAGTATTAAAAATATTTGGATGAAAATGATGATAATCATCAACATTTTGAACAAATGAAAACTTATGAACAGTAATGTTGAAAAATAATTTTTATGTAGCTGAATAGGATATATATAGCTATATCCATATGCTAAAGTATGTGAGGATATGTATATATAACTTACCCTTCCATGTAAAACAGATTGATGGAAAAATGTCTCGGATACAGAAGTATCAATGTATGTTTACAAATTGTATACACTCTAAAAAATTGTTCTTTTATTTTAAATGTTGTGAAAGATTTTATCCATGTCATCATTGTCATAATAAAGATCATTTTTGCAATAAAAAAGTCAATCCAAAAGATATTTCCTGGATAATGTGTAATTATTGTGGTTTTGAGCAAGGAATTCAACAATATTGTATCAAGTGTAAGAAAAAGCTGGCTGATTATTTTTGTGGTAAATGTAAGGTTTACGATGATTATTCGAAAGATCCTTATCATTGTGTAAAATGTGGTGTTTGTAGAGTTAAATTACATAGATCATATCATTGTGATGCTTGTGGATTGTGTTTCGAAAAGGAAAAAGGAAAAAATCAATATCATATATGCAAAAACGAACATGTTCAATGTATGATATGTTTGGAAGATACATTAACTGGAATCGGAATGTTAAAATGTGGTCACAAAATACATTTTGATTGTTTGACACAATTATTATTACAAGGATTTTCTAACTGTCCGATATGTAGAACTGATTTATTAACACCAACAACCATCCCATCAATTAAGCGAGCATCTTTAAGAACCGTGTCTGGTACAACCTGATACTAACCTCAATAAAATACAAAAACATGAATTTTTTATTATATGAAGTATTATATGAAGTATTATATGAAGTATTAGATAAAGTATTTACAAAATGATGTATATAAACGAATTTTAAGACATTTTTCTAAAAAAATACTCCATTGTGTTGTTTAAATTAATTTCTTGGTTGAGTTCTTTTAATTTATCAAGTAATTTTTTTCTTCTCTCAAATAGATCAATTAAAAAATTTACTTCTTCCTCATTTTTACATATGATATTTCCTTTTATAAGGGAATAAAATTGTCTATTAATACAATTTTGACCGGTGTTAAAAGATAACATATTACAAGAGTATTCAGGATTTTTACCAATTTCGTTGTTGTATTCTTCAAGTTTTTTTTTTTGGTTGGACGTCCTCCCTTTTTTTTATACTTTCAGTAGCATCCATTAATTGTATTTTTTTACCTACCCATTCCTTACGATTATGAGGAGGACTTGTAAATACTAGATTGGGATGAGCAAATACTAGATTGGGATGAACAAATACTTGATCTTGATTCATTTGTTCAGGAGGAGGAGGAGATGTGTTTCCTTGATTTTGATTCATAGTATTATTATTAGGAGGAGTTGTAAATCCTTGCTTTTGTTGATCTTGATTAAATTCAACGTCTTCAAGTTCTCTTAAAATAGTTCGCGGTGTGGGGATATTGTAATTTAAGAAAGACATCGTGCCTGGTGACATCATACTTGTAGTTGAGATTGGAGACATGATATTCATAAGAGTTGTATTTTTTTTAGTAGGAGAATTTTTTTTGAATATACATTATTAATTATGGGTAGAGGAGATGATTTTTGAATATTATCATGATAAGTATTCAAAGGACTTTTACCATCAATCTTTTCTGCTGTATCTTCATCCATGGGTTGTGGAGAATCTGGTGATGATGATGCACGATTTTGATTTTCGATGAAACTTGTCTCAGAATTTGTCTCGTTATTTTTCTCAGTATTTATCCAATTCGGCATGGGTGTTTGTAGAGAGGGATATTCATTATTCTCTTGAAATTGATTTTCTTCTTGAAATTGATTTTCTTCTTGATTTTTTTTTTCTTTATTTTTTTTTTTTATAAATATATCGAAGCGATTTTTGTTTCTTTTATCTTTCAAGTAAAAAATCTTCATATGACACGTTTGACTCCATTTTTTACTTTATAATAAAGAAATTGTTAACGAGCAAGCTCTTATATACTACTGGAATTTGATATAAAAAATTGTATTTCCTTTCATTTAATCTATTTATGGTATTATTACCCTTGGGTGAACTTGCTATACACCCTTGATTGTACTTGGTACAATCTGATACCATTTTTTGCTTAAATTTAGAATATAACCTTGACTTTTCAAGTTGATTGATTGACATTACTGAGTGTCTAGAAGTTACTAATTGAGTTGTTTTGCATTTTTTGACGTCAATGAAGAATTACTACATGTTTTTATTACTATATATGGTTATTACATGCACGATAACCTTGATCGCTTCATATTTGCATTGCTTGAATTTTTTTGGTTTTTTTTTTAATATTGGTGGGATATATAAAAGATCAGTTATTTAAAATTGTATGCATTGAAGAATTAACGTGTCATATATTTGTTAAGTTTGTTTATAAAATGGAATCACAAGAATCAAACGCAAATACATCACACATTTCAAGTCCAAATACATCTGAAGATGAAAGTCCAAACACATCGCATTGGCTCAAAAGAAAATTTTATTATATATCTGATGATGATGATGTAAACATCGAACTTAGCGAAAATTATAAAAAACTTAACGAATTTAGAAAACAAATACTTGACTTGCAGAGTGAATTAGAAGAAACGAAAGAGAAGCTAATGCAAAATGGAGCAAAATGAGCGAATTTTCAAAAGAAATTCAAGCTTTAAAGATGAGTTGGAAAAAGAAAGAGCAAAATGAAGCAAAGCATATTGAATATTTAAAAGATGTTCAAGATTTACAAGATGAATGCGATTGTTTAAACAATTCGTTAACTGATTATGAAAAAATAAAAGAAAATACTCAAGTAAAGTTAATATTAGCACAAGCTAAGTTGGATGAAGAACTTCAAAGTGATGAAATATAGTTCATATAACAATTTTAATATAACTCTTCAAATATTTTGTTTAGACGATTAACATGCAGTTGTTTTTCATTGTCAGACATGTCAACATCTAAAAAAATAAAATCTAAATAATCTTTAGATTTTCTAATTACTTTTTCTTTTTTTCTTCTTTCTTCTTCTTCTATTTGTTTTTTATTTAGTTCGAGGATTTTTCCAAATTGAATTGTTTCTTTTTCAATAAATTCTATCATCTCGTCGCAAACCTTTTTCCAAATATTACCGTATATTTTAATGTATTTTCTATTGTCTTCTTTCTTTTTTTCTTCGCGTCTTTTGTACCGTATATTCTTTCTTTTTGGCATTTTCCCATCTTTTTTTGTTTGCTTTCACCGTTTTTTTCTCACTGTCTTTGCGATAAGTGTATGCTTGCAAGTGAAGTAAACGAGATAAATGCTTGAATTTTATAGATCAAATTTTTGCGCAAATATAACCTTTTGACCTCACAAACATACTGTTGTTGAGTTTACTTGTTTCACATATGTTAAAACTTGCGATTTTTGTCATAACATAAAACGCATCGAGTATTCAATATATTAATGTGGTGAAAAAAAATTTGCATTTAGATTTTCTAATAAAACTTTATATTTTTGATTTTGTTGAAGCTAGCAGTATCAGATTCCATCATCACCCATAAGATAATTGCTTAATAGATGTGATGACAGCAAATGGCTTTTGTTTCAGTTATTATTGGCGTTGTCTAAAATTTACAAAATTCTGTTTTGAATTTATTTGTAAAAAAATTGTTTCTTTATATATTAAAACTTGCGTTTTTTTGTCACAACACAAACTGCACCGATTGTTGGTAGTTGAAGGTTGAAGTGTGTTTTGTAACTCGTGTATCATAATGGGTTTGACACCAGACGGGGATTGGTACAATATAATAGATGATGAGATATATAAATGTGAACTTCGCATCGACATCTTCAAGGAATTTATAGAAGACATATTAGAGATGATGCACTCTGAATTAAAAGAATAAAATTACGATCAAGTTAAAGTACATCGATATTTTTGGATGTGTAAAGATGAAATCAAAGCAATCAAAAAATTACAAAAAGAACGCGAAAATCTGCTAAATGTGATAAAATTGTACAGAAAATGTTAGAATTTTACTAAATTTTAATACAAATCTTATATTTCGATTTTGTTGAAGATGATAGTTTAATAAATGTGATGACAGCATTGGAAGATAATTTTTAATAAATGTGATGACAACCAATGGTCTTTGTTTGAGATATTATTTGTGTTCTGTTTTGAATTTAGGTGTGATTCTATGTATTAAACATACTATTTTTGTTATAAGACAATTCGCTTTGTTTATTAAATACATTAAAGCGCTGAAAATAATTTTTTGCATCTTTGTTTAACGCAAAATGCATATTTTCGATTTTGTTGAAGTCAGTGTCAGATTGTACCAGTCACAGGTATAGAAGATAATTGCTTAATAGACGTGATGACACCAAACGGATTTTGTTTAAGATATTATTAGTATTCTCTAGAGTTTATGGTATTCTGTTTTGAATTTAAGTGTGATTCTATGGATAAAACTTGCGATTTTGTCACAACACAAATCGCTTTGATTATTAAATATATTAAAGAGGTGAAAACAATTTTTGTATTTTATTTTAATACAAAACGTTCATTTTCGATTCTGTTGAAGTCTGTGTCAGATTGTACCAGTCACAGATGTTTAATTGATATTTAATTGATATGATGACAGTAAATGGGGTTGTTTGTGTTCTCGAATGTTCAAGGGCAGCTAGCAAACAAAGACATAGTGTATTGAGATGTAGATACGAACGTTCAAGGTGAAACGGAAACAAAGGGTATTTTGTTGTAACGAGAGTATTTAAGAACACGTAAATATCACAACTGCATCGAAGTTTCTCAAGCTCTGTAGAAGTTATCTTGTTGGAAATCGGTTGGATTCTTTGTTGGAAATCGTTATTCTCTCGCTATTTGTTGAGGACAAACTTGTACTGGTAAGAATTTAATGTTATTTCCCTTTATTTATGACCTAATTTTTTAATATCCCAATTGCATTAACGTTTCTCTAGTTATGTTAAAGTCTGTTTTACTTGAAAGTCTTACAAATGCGTTTATTTATGAGCTAGTTTTAATAACGCAATTTTAATTTTCTAGTTACGTTAAAAAATCTGTTTATTGGAAAGGGAAATATTAAAGTGAAACAGTTTATACTGTGAGTAAATTTGGTTTTGGTGAAATTTAGAATGTGTAATGTATCAACTAAGTCAAGATTTTATCCATGTCTTTGTTTACAAATGAAAGATTGCCTTAATTGGTTTTGGGACGATGAATATGGTGAAAAGTTTGAATGCTATTTCCGATTCTTTATTGTGGATGATGTATTGATGCGAGACAATTTGTATTATCAGTAAATTGGGTTTTGAACTTTCCATATTATCATTTAAAATTGGACTTCGGACTTTCATCAATGTAATTATTTTGTATTGTATTTGAAATATATCTTTTTATGAAATATACTTGTTTCTTCTAAATACTATACCGAAGGATTATACGTTGTTTGAAATAAAGTTAAGAATTTTATAGTATTTGCTTTTATTCACGAATTAATTTCTTTTCTCTAGCTATGCTAAAAGTCTGTTTATTGGCGACTCTTCCAAATACTATCGCAAAGACTTTACGAAGCAATTTCTTAATATCACAATTTCATAAGTGCTTTTCTAGCTACGCTAAAAGTCGGATTATTCGAAGGACTACACGTTGTTTGAAATAAAGGTAAGAATTTAATATTATTTGCTTTTACTTACGAAGTATGATATTATTTATGGAAAAAATTATAGATGATCACACGGTATAGAAAACAGTTAATGGATCATTTGAAAGAGTATTTGCATCACACTGATGAAATAACATACTGGTTTTTCATTATAAAATGTTATTTTAAAGACGTATATCAATTACCCACAGAATTTTTATTGCGGATGAAAAAACAATTTATTATAAAAGTTAGACATTTTGAAAAGAACTTTTATGATGTTAAAGATCTAGATAAAGTTTTAGATATTTTTATTTGCATAATGCAAAGAATCAGGGTACGGATTTTAAAACATTAATAGATTTTCTTGTTAATTTTTGCTAGGAAAAATTATGGTTATTTCGAAAAAATAGAGTTATGAACTTATTTAAGAACCGAATATTTTGAAAAAATTCAGAATTTCAAGAAATTTCATTATTATTGAAAATAAGGTTCAGTTAACATATAAAGAAAGTAATGGACTGTATTATTGAAGTTGTTTTTTATGCGTTTATTTTATGAAATTGATAAATTGAATATTATATCTGACAAAAAGCTATGAGTGTGTTAAACTAAATTAATGTTACTTTTTATTAGTAATTTTTGGAGATTGAATAATGGAAAACATTATATCAAAAGTCATGTGCTGTTATAGATCATAATGGATATATATTTTGTCATTATAGGACATTTTGGTGGACATACTTCTAATTTTATTATAATCAATATAAACCCAGAGTTGATATTAACCTAACTATACAATGTATATAAATGAATATGCTATTAAAATCAATTGTTTCATTTTTAAATGGTTTTCTTTTATAGTTTAACGATATGGATTTTTATCTATCAAGTATTTGCCATTTTATTGAACGAATATCGGTCATCCATTGTTATATCCGTTGTATTTTGTATGCAGTTGTTTATTAAAATTGAAAAGAACCGTCACTAATGAAAGTGCTTAAAATTAAACCAACTGTAGAAGATTTAAAATATTCGCTTTATTTTAAATCTTTTTCAAATGATGAAAAATTCAAATCCGTCAAAAAAATGTAGATTTCATTGAATTTCTATATGGAACAGTAGGGATAATACGTTGTTGGGAGAATGAAAATACCGAACATCTTTATTTAATTTCGACTTATTGGTTACCCAAAGTTTATATGCAACATAAAAAAATATTATTATTTAATGAAAATTTTTGTTGCAGATATCATTATTTTAATGTAAATAAACAAACGAATATAATTTTATATGATTATTTCAACATTTATTTGCATGATTCTCAGGTTGTAAAAAAAGATAGTTTTCATTTAGGTTTAGAGTGTAATACGTTATATAGATATTTTTTCAACATGTTAGTAATGTAAAAATTTATATATCTTGTAAAAAATTTTTTAATACAATTGAAAAAATAAAATTGAAAAATGTAAATAAAGATGTAATTTATAATTTTTTAATAGAAAACGAAATTTATACCGATTATGCACGGCATATATTATCTTGTAAATATTGTAATATATTGTTTGATGATTTTATAACTTTACTTATTATAAAATGTAAACAATTAGAAAAACCTAATTTTACAATAACAACACGTACTTTTTTAACGTTTGAGCAAATTGGTTTAATATTCAATAGAGATCCTAATTTTCATACGTCAACTTGTAATGATATTTTATTTATTTTAAAAAAAAATGGACTTGATAGATACGAATTATTTTTTTTTAATTTTAATGAAAATAATTGATTAATTAAATACAAATTTTCTATTTTTTCTATTTTCATTCATCATTGTCTTTAAATAACCACCTCCCTTTTGTTTTATTTTTTTTATTGATCCTCTTATACAATAATTTTTCCTTTTTCTTTTCCTTTTACACATTTTTTGTTTCATCAGAAAGAAATTATTCCTTATCAATTTATTATTTAAATATTTTTTTAACAACTCCACCGGCTATAGCTGGAACAATACCCTTTAATGCCAATCCTGCTAGTCCACCAAATTCCTCCTCTTTGTGCTTTCCTATATTTTCTTTTTTTAATTCTTTTCGTTTTCTTTTATACATTTTTATTTTATTTTTAAAAAAGAATAAATAAGTAAAATAAATAGTAAGCAAATTCAATAAATATATGCATGGAAGCAATATCTGTTTATTTATGCAGAGTAGTACAATTGTTATAACATATATATAGATTTTTTTACAAAAATCACATTTTAAGTTTCTGAAATAATATTTTTTTAAAATTACAAAAAAATGGGGAGACGTCAAAGAGGAGGGAGACGACAAAAGGAGGATTTATTAAATTTTCTAAAATTCGCAATACACTTAAATCTGGATTTAAAAAAGCATTAAGTAAAAAACATTTAGCGCTAAAATCTGCAAAAGCTGCCAGAGCTATAGCAAAATCAGGAATACTGGGTTCTAAAGCAAAAAAATTTGTAAATTCACCTTAATGGATAAAGCATTTGAAATTGCAAATAATCAATTGGGTAAAGGTGCATATAGAGGTCAGATGTATGTAAGGGTAAAAAGAAGAAGAGGTCAAAAGGAGAATATTACCATTGTTAGCACCAATGTGGGGTCGATATTTTAGTTGAAATCAATTTGTGTACTAATTAATTAATTAAAAACATTTATGTAAAAATATATTTTTATTCAATAAAAAATATTATTTATTTACAAATATTTTACTTTTTTACTTTTTTTCCAATATTCTCTACCATAATTAGTAAATATTTCTTGGTGTGGTTTAATGTTTTTTGATGATTTTAAGAAATAATTAAATTTTTTTCCAAGTAAAAACGAGTTGTTTTTAAAGCGTGACCCTCGAGCATCATTTGCATATCTTGGTGCGCCATCAGTTGTTTCATTAGCATCAACACATTTTCCTTTATCGCAAATTGCGTATTCTGCTAAACCATCACCATATTTTCTTATTACTTGACTTGAGGTAAGATGTCTTCCTGTATAATTTGCAATTTTTTTGTTTTTCGGAATTTTTTTTTTGTATGCAAATAATCCTTTACCACCGTTTGAAATGTTTGAAGTTTTAATTCTTAAATTAAACTTTTTTCCCAAGTGAATCCAACATAAATTGGTCATTGAAGTTTTTTTTCGACATCTTACATTTTTTAAGGTAATTCCATCACATTGTTGTACTTTTCGTATACTTTGTTTCATTTTTTTAGTAAATTAATCTTATTCCAGCATAAAGTTCAATATTTGTTTCAATATATTCTATTAATTTCTCAATTTTAAAACATATATCAGAATGATTTGACTCGAGATTATATATTTCTTTTTTTAAAAAAAGAAAATTCTTTTTTAATGAATTGACATCATAATACCTTACAGAATTATCATCATTATCATCTGATTTCCAATCTTGAATTGATTGTTGAAATAAGAAGGTGAGAATAAAATACATTTATCATTATCCAGTATTTGATAGGTACATTTAGTACTAGCTCTTTTATTATTTTTATTTTTCTTTTCATTTTCATTTAAGAATAAATGAACTTCTATATAACATAGTGTTTCTCCAGCCATTTTATTAATTAATTCAATGTGGGTAATTCTATGTGTAAACCATCAACGATACACCGCTTATAAAATTAAATCTAAACTGCATGTGTATAAAAGGTTCCGAAAATGAAATTGATTATCATGATAATGTAGACGGTGAAGAAAAAATAAAGGAAAAAGAAAATAATAAAGAAAAAATAAAAAAGAAAAAACCCAAACCATGTCAAAACGGAAAATGAAGAATTGAAGAAGAAAGAAGAAAAAATGAAAATTATTTCGAATGATGAAATAAAAATAGTTAGTATATTTCATTCAAAATTGGTGAAAAATTTAATACATCAAAAAAAATAAAAATTAATTGATTTACAATATAAAATACCATTTTACGTTAAATGGTGAAGTTAAGGATCACGTATATCAAATTTTATAAAAAACAATTTCAACAGTTTACTGGATTTTTTGAAACAATTTTCAAAAATATTATTTGCTCAATATAGCAAAATTATCCGTAAATTCTGAGAATGATTTAATTAGATTTTTTCGAAAAGCTCCGTTAAAACCTTTTTCAACATCCTTATTACCCTTAAAAATTTACTATACAGAGATTATTAGATACTTTTGAACATAATTTACAAAGTAATATTTCAGAATTTTTAAATAATGACTGGAAACTAATGTATGTCTTATGATTGTCCCAAATCAATATAAAATGAGAAAATCTCATTTAGGAAAAAAAAGACCAATTCGGAAAAACAAAACAAAAAACTTATTTATAATTTAAATCCTGATGATGATAGTAGGGGGGGTGGTAAAACAAATCGTCCAGTATTGAAACATCAAAGAGAAGTTAGAAATGGTATATTGCAAATTAAGTGTGACAAATTGCAAACTCAAGTTAAAAATTGTTGTTTTGCTGTGGCTGTATTAGTTGGAAAATGTTTATTAATAATGATGAGAAACTAACAATTTTAAAAAATTTAAATAAAACAGTTGATGAAATAATTACTGTAGACGAAGTTAAATCATTTTATAAAGAAGCAAATTATCAGAAGGAAGTGTCGCCATTAACCAATTAAATTTAGTTTACAGAAAACTACTTAAAAGATAATTTTCATTTGGTGTTTTCTAAAGATAAATTAGATACAAATAATTTATGATTCAAGAGTGAGTAATCATGATTCCTTTCACATTAGTGATAAAATTATTTTTTTATGGTTAAATGATTCTCACTATGACTTAAGCTTAAATCCTAAACTTTTTTCTAATTTAAAATTGGATTTATTTTGCTTTAAATGCATGCATTATTTGAAATTTGACGAGTATGCGGATTCTCATATTTGTAAAAATGAGGACACATGTTTAAAATGTTATTCAAACTGTAAAAAAGAAGCAAATTTTTCTATTCAATGCCGAATGTAATATAATTTTCAAATCATCAGATTGTTTCTGGAAACATTTGTTTAATAAATTGTTTAAAAAATAAGAATAGTATTAAAGTCACACCATGTCAAAATTTTTTTTTTATTGTACATGTAATAAAATTGTTCCAAGATTTTCTTTGTTAAAAATAAGGTTGTTTTACATGATTGTCAAAACATATTGTGCTCATTGTAGAAAATATTTGGACAAACAAAATAAATGTCATATCAAACCCTTAGAATTTAATAAGTATAAGTCTACACCAACGTTATTTTCTTTGATTTTGAAACAAAAACAGATGAAAATAATTTAATGATCCACCATTCTATTGTGTTGTTCAAAAGTATGTCGTAAATGCGAAAAATTCCATTTCATAAAATTTAGAGTATTTTTTACCTGATATGGATTATATTACTGACTTATCAATTGACCCTGTTGACTTATTTGTGGTTATCATCAATTTGTCTTTGATTGTAATAATGATGATGTAACATCACAATTAGCTCGATTTATGTTAGAACAAAAAAAATTCTGTTTGGATTGCATAATGTGTGGTAGATTTGATACAATATTTTTATTAAAATACTTATTTGACAGTAAAAAATTGAATTCCGAGCTGTATATGAATGGTAATAAAATTTTATCTT